TCCTCCTCTCCATCCATCCAGCCCGGTTCTGACAGCCAGCCTCTCCCCAAATACACGATCCGAGTTCCTGAAAAGCTTCCATCCTTCCGCCATTTTCAGCTGACTGAAAGAAATCAGGTAAAAATAAAACATAATAATCACAAGTTTCCAAAGGTAAGTTCGCCTGCGAGGAAAAAAAACGAGAATAAAAAGCACTTTCTGACTGGAAGAGAGGAGAAGAGCTCCTTCCTCCTGCCAGCAGCGTGGAGGGGAGAAGAAAAGGAGGAGAGGAGCGGCTTTTTTTTCTTTTAATTTTTCAAACAGGAGGAACAATAAATGCTTCATCCTCCAGGCGCTGTTGGTTCTGCAGCTTTACTCCCTTGTTTTTCCGCCTTTCTCAACTTTTTGTCAAAGAGGTGAAATCTGTCGGCTAAACTTCAACGAGGCGCTTTGATGTCTGATCAGAACTCCTGCTAAATAAAAATAAAGAGTGAGTGAGCCTCCATTTACAAAGATAAAGACCAAACATTTTTGATTCGTTGATGTATCTGCAGTTTAGTCCTAGAGCAGCTTTCCTCTTCCAGGTGGAGTGTCCGGGGTCACTGACTCCGTGTTTGTTGGCTCTGATTTGTGGTGGGAGARTCCCAGCAGCTCATTGTGCTTCTCTACCAGCTGGGACTCAAACCAGTCTGAGGAGGAGACACGTTTACTGAGCCCAGAGACATTAGGTTCATTTCACCAAACAAGATCTTCTTTAAATGTACAGATGAAAACATCTTAAAAAGGTACAACGTGGATTTTTTTTTTATGAGAGAGAAATTGGATTTCCTGCAAACAGAGAACAGGAAAAGTCAAAAATGCTCTAAATTAGCTGTAAGTCTAAAATAAGAAGCTCTTTGATCTAATTTGAAAAAGTTTAGTCAAACTGCTGAGGAAAGAGCCAATAAATCTGCTCTGTTTCTACAGACGTTGCCACATAATTACATAATTAGATTTAAAATGCTTCAGAACAGGTTTGAGCTCAAAAGGTTGAAATAAATATTAAAATGCTGTAATACCTGCAGAGGTTTCATCTCATTCCTGATGACTGGACTGCGAATGGACACAGCTGAAAGCCATGATGCAAATGAAGTAGTTACTTTTAGGTCTTATGCAAAAACCCACATAAAAATAAACTAGTTTGTATTTGACTGTGTTGGATTTATAAAGTTAAAACGTCTTTTGTGTTTCAGCTCATGATCCCTGATGCCCTCCATCCTGTGAACCTCYACAGGTGAAATCTCTTAAACATGAAGATAAATGTGCAGACGTTTGATTTTTAAAACATTTAGCGGTGTTTCCTGTCTGTCTTCACCTGATGCAGGGGTCATGGCCGTTAACGGAGGGACGGTGGAGTGTCTGGAAGATGTTCCAGCTGTTGTGTGGAAAAGTTTGCCGGATTATCTGAATCTTGGGCCGTCGGCTGTGAATCAAAGCCGTGTTGGTGAGTTTGACAACCTCTTCTGTGTTTTCAGAGCTTTAACGTCTGTTATGGATTATAATAATCAGATTTTTTTAWTGGTCTTTAAGGTCAGTTGGCTGTGGCGGCCATCTTGAACCGGGTTGATCCCAACTGTAAAATAGCTGTTCCTATGACTTTATCCACGTTTCAAAAAATCTGTCCAGTGTTTCAGGAAACAGTTTTTTCTAACAAACTATTTTGCTAACAGACAGACAAATAAATAGACACACASAAAACATATTACCCATCTTTCATTGTAGCAGGCGATCATTTCCAATGCGTTTTTTCACAGATCTTTGAGTCTGAGGTTAAATCTCAGGTTCACTGATTTTGTAATGTTGTTAATATTCAAAATTAACCAAACGTTGCGCATAAACGGTCACTTTTGCGTCTTTTCCTTTCCGTTTCCTCAGTGTGATGGATGAAAGATCTTTTGAATGCACATTTAATTTGTTTTAATGTTATTTTCATATTTTCAGGTGTCTGGGCCACAAAAGTCATCCCAAAAGGGAAGCGTTTTGGTCCGTTTGTTGGAGAGAAGAAAAAGAGGTCCCAGGTGACCAGTAATGTCTACATGTGGGAGGTATGGTGTTCTGGCTCATTATTTTGGTGTTTAAATTCACATTTATTGTTGCCTTTTGGGGTTGAATTAAAGATTTTGTATAGAAATTGTAGAGGCACTGTTTGCACTGAACGCTTTTTGGTTTTGAGTTGTTGTCTGAATATTAAATATTCATGTTTCAGTGGGTTTTAGTGAACATTAGTTGAGTTCCTGTCATAAAACTATCAGTTAGCTTCAGATGATTTACAGTTTTATTAAAATAAATGTTCAGTCAAACACCACTTTGTCCTCTGGTTGTACATGAAACAAAAAAAAAAAAGAGTCTGCTGGCCCTAAAGCCTAAACCTAAGTAGCTGAGTTAGGATCTAAAAATACAAGTTAATATTAGATGTTTATCTTTTCTGCTTTCATTTTTTTCTTTTCGAAATCAAAGAACTGTTTGTGTTTTTTGTGTGTTGCTCACCTCCATACCTGTCTGCTGCAGGTTTATTTCCCAGCACGGGGATGGATGTGCATCGATGCCACGGATCCCACAAAGGGGAACTGGCTCAGATATGTGAACTGGGCTCGTTCCAGTAAAGAGCAGAATCTTTTCCCACTGGAGATCAACAGAGCCATTTATTACAAAGCTTTGAGGGTGAGTTAAACACACATTCCCAAATGAGATAAAAAAAAACAAATAAACAAACAAATGCAAACACACACGCAGACATGCACAAAACCTCATCTTCACCTTCTAGAAGCAAGTGATGATAAATTAGGACTTGGAAATTAGGTTTTTTTTAATCATTACATCAGATTACATGTTAAATACCTTTACTCTTATAAACATATATTGTATATTTTTGTTGTTTTGTTTCGTTACAGCGTGGAGAAATATTGGTTATGACCACTTTAAACGATTACAAGTTGTTTGGTAACAAAGCATGAAAAGATTATGATTGGATTAAAATATCGAGGGTTTTATTATTCAAATGTGTTTAAAAAAAGGAAAAAGTGTTGCACTTCCTAAACATGGTTTCTGTTTTATGTATTTTTTGTTTTTAGAGGTTCTTACATGTAGTTACTGTGATATAATCATCGTGATATAATTATCTGCTATGTTTGAGTGTTAATAACAGATTAGATGAACAGTAGCCCAAATACCCCCCCCCCCCCCCCATTCCCGGAGCCTCCCAACAAACCTGGCTGTGATTGGTCGGCCGAGCTCATCTCTCACTGTTTCAGCCAATCAGGGCGGGCGAGGAGCTGCTTGTGTGGTACACGGTGGAAGACAACCCCGAGATAACAGCTGCACTGGAGGAAGAAAGAGCCAGCAGTCTGAGCAGGAAAAACTCACACAGGGCGAAGCGAGGTGAGGCCTCTTAACCCCGAGCTCTTCTGCCGTTTTGGGCTCCGGTTCCCGGACATGAACCCGAGCTGTCCTCAGGTTGGAACAGACGAGCTGTAGCTGGTTATAATAGAAAGAAGGCTAGTGGAAGCTAACGACTGAGCGATGTATCAGCGGAGCTTTTCTCTGCTTCCATACCTGACTTAAAACTCGTCACTGACGCTATGTTTGGCTCAACATAAACATCGCATTGGTTTACTGTATTATTTACCTGCTAAACCCGTTTTCGAGCCGCTTTTTTCCTCATCTGGGTCCGACGTCGTTGAGGATGTGACCTTCCTTGAGTTCATCCATCGGGGAGCCTCTCTACTTGATGGTGGCCTAGCAGCTTAGCTAACTTAACCAGCTTCCTTATCTGACTGCTGTCTCGTGTTTTTTATGGACTCGTGTTTGATATCAGACTAAAATAAGGGGGGCAGATTGTTTATCTGATGTCGGCCCGTGTGTGGTTTTGGTCCAGAACAACCAGTTCATCGAGTTGTCAGACTTAAACTGGTGTTAGCATGAGGCTAAATGGCTCCACGCACGGACATCTCGTTGAAGAGGTGCCGATGCTAAAACTATTACTGGGTGGATGAAATGTGTCAAATYGACAACATAAACAACCAAGATAGTCAATATAACAACATCAATTTAGTGTTTCTTCGCTTTATTTAGTATTAGCTCAAAATAACTAAACAAAACAAGAAGAAACGACGTAAAAGTGGAATTTATTAAACATCTATAACAATTTTTTAATGTGAAAACAAACCTGATCATGCTGTATTAATCTATTACTTCATTCATTTTTTGTTTATTAACTGGCCTAACATCAATCAGGCTTCTCGTTTCTTAACTTGCCTGATTTGTGTCACATTTACATCCACTAGTATGAACTTTGAACGCGTTTTCACCATGATGTATCATAAAAAGTGTGTGTGTGTGTGTGTGGGGGGGGGGGGGCATTGCAGTCTGTTCAGGCCTATTCCAAACAATTTTACTTTTTTTTTTCTTCAGAAGTAAAATCAAGACCATTCACCTGTGTAGGTAGTATTATTTGTTAGGATATTATTTGCYATTGCAATCCACATAACTGTGCAGTGCAACAAAATGTATTTTGCAACTCAAAAGATACACACACACACACAAATAATAATAAAGCTTAAAAGCAAACTTGGCACTTCACATCCATTACTACACGAGGGAAAAAAATTATGATCAGCAGTCTGTTTCTGTATATGGCATTATAAGTATTTGTACGTTATGAGCCACAAATGTCTATGCAAACATAAGTGTATAAATATAGATACTGTAGACTAGAGAGTCAGAAATGTGATAACTCTTAACTTTGTGTCACCATCATGCAATTACACAATACTGGAATGACAAATCCTTCATTTGTAGCACAAAAAAAAACATTTGGGGTAGAAAATGAAATTAGTAACTCGGGCTGCACAATATCAGGAAAGCCTGCGATGTGCAACAACAGGGCTTTACTACTAAACCCYAAATCAGCCTTTTTTAGCAGATAAACTGTCTAAAGTGTGCTTTAGATTTAGATAGATTAGATAGACCTTTATTGTCATTGTACAGAGCACAAGGGTGGTTTAAGGGTATTATCTTTATATTTTTGTGTAAATTTGTTTAATTCTGCAAATGTCGTCTATAACCGCCCATCTTCTGTGTATAAAAACCTGAGTATAAAACCTGAGTTTTATACCTGAGTATAAAAACCTCTCACTCAGAGACAYGCCCCTGCAGCGGGATGGGTTGGAATAGTGAGCACTGGGAGGAAAGTTAGTTACTGTTTTGAACATTGTTAACCCACGTTAGCAGTGATTCTGCTAACGTCACTTTAACACTCAGAAACTTGACCCATTCTGTCCTCCTAAATGTGAGTTTGCATATTGTGAAACTTTACAAAATACGTTAATTTCTTTAGAGCATTCAGAAATGTTTTGAGAGATGCTCGTTTGTCAAATTAAGCTAGCTGTCACATTCCCTGTCCTGACCACACCTCCTCACTCATCCCCACATTTGGCCGTGCCTCTCATTTGGCACTTTGTTGGAATTTTTCAAATCTGTCTTGGGGTGGGGTTATGCTTCMACAAGGTGGAATTAGTTAAACTTTAATATTGCCATGATGATGTTACTTGTGATAAATTAACAAATACTTATGTATGCAGTACTGATGTCTTTGCTCGGGGTTCAGAGCAAAAAATAAAATAAAATTAACCAACCAATACATCTTTTCCATTCCAAAATGACATATTTATTTAAAAAAGTGCAACAAGACACAGCTGTTGTATTAACAAACTGCATATAATACAGTTTCTTGATGATTTGAARACATTGCCCCTATAAAACATTCTCTGATGCTTTAAATACTGAAAATACTCCTTACAATCAGTTTTTAAACGAATAATAAAGCATCTAAAAATAAGTTAAATCATTTAAATCAAGTAAAACTTAAACATAAATCCAACTACATTTTAGTGAATAAAAACTTMATTCTAGTTGTCCAACATTTTCTCCACTCATCAAGTGGTGATGATTTGATGTGGTATCTCGGGTTCATTTTGTTTATCACACTGATGTTGACAAAACACATAAAATGGAAATATTTAAGCCAACCGTTTCTTGCAATTCATGCCGTTTTTTGCGATATACCTGCACAGGCTGCTACTTCGATAAYGATAAATTTGCGATATATTGYACAGCCCTWTTAGTAACACTCGAGCTCCAACATAGTGTTTTTGTTGGATTTGTCATGAAAGGACCTTGTAGAAGTTTCCATGGAGCACTAGAGGCTGTAACATRTTATCACAACATTGTGATATTCTGACTTTTTGCAGACATTTTACCAACTAGGGCTTCACTGGCAGTTGACTTCTGTGCAAATCTTGAAATTATTTGAATTTATGCAGATTTTTTAAAAATTTCATTATTGTAACGTCCTATACATATTATTTAAGCTGCTTAGACAAACTGAAACGGGTGGTTTACTTCTGGTTTTGCTTTATTAGTGCCTTTGGTCACCTGCGTTTTTAGTTGCAATTTTAACAAATTATTGTGATTTAATTTTTTTTTTTTTGATTCTGAACTAAATTGACCCCCGGGTGTTGCTCTGGTGTTTTGCTGCAGAGCAAGTTAATTTTAAAAACATTTTGAAAGGAAAAAGGGATTGCTTTGGATAATAAGTGATAGATGTCTGGAGACAAATGGTTGCCGGTGTTAACTTTGCACTCACGTGTCATTAAACAACAATAAAGAGGCAGGAAGTGTGACTAGGAATAAAAAACGGCACCAGTCAAACCTCAGCCGGATAACAAGAATGTGGAAAATGTAGTTGAAATGTTGCAGTTATGTTGGCTTGATCAGTGTTGTAATTTTTAAAGAATGGTAATAAAAGTTAGCTATGATGACACTTAAATGAAAACGTTTCAGTCGTTGTCAGTTTGATCAGGAACAYGATGGCTTAAAAGTCAAGTGATTTGTTGCAACAACCTTAACAGGATTTTTTTTATATGCTTAATGTGAGAGACTGCAGTCAGAAGAAATTGTTACACAAGTGATAAATGTTTGAATTTGAGGCTTAATTCTCCTAGATATGAGCATGTTTACTGCCAAAAATTCTTAATTTTGATCACTAAAATCAATTTTATGTAAGAAGTTATGTGTTTGATTTTTTTTTGAAACAGCTTTCCAGATGTTTTTGTGAATATACTTCGAATTTTTAAAAAAGGGTTTTCAACAGCATTTTTGTAGTGTTGAAAGCAAGGTTATACTAAATTGTTCAATAT